CTGTCAAAATTTTGGCCATATATCTAATGGTACTGGGTCCAGCATTAAACACAATAGATATGCTCATTTTAATCTAAAAAAGCCCAAATAAATGTTGGTTATGAGTAACTCGGTGCTCCAAATCATTGTCACACCCAAGCTGGACATGAAGGGATTCTCTGTGCATTTATGTCACTTAGGAGTAGGTAAATCCCTCACTATAATTAATTGCTTCATTTTGGTTAAAGCCAGTACAGTGTGAGTTTCCAGGGAAGTGCTGAGTACCAGCCATTTGCTGAAACAGTCAGAAACAGAGGGGCATGCAGCACAAGATAGCTGTGGTTTGTATATACTGCTCCATAATAAGATTACATGAAAGATAGTTCATACTGTAAGTCATGAAAAAAAAAAATCAATTAAATATTTTACCATGGTTCAATGCAGTACCTTCCACATAGAATGAAGCTGGGAGAACAGTCAAAACCTGTTCTTCCTTTGGATACAGGAAAGACTGACTTAAACACACCTTTTTGGAGTATCTTTTGTGTTTAAAAACAAGGGGTGAAATCACAATAGTAGCAAACGCAATGACTACATTTCCTTTGACTTTAATGGATGAAATTTTATCTCAAGGAAACTAGTCAGATAGCCAACAATTTACCTCACTCATATGCAAAAGAAAGAATAAATGTTCCCTCACGTATCACTATTATCAATCTGAAAAAAATGCACCATATATGCAGAAAAAGCTCTCAAGTAGGTTATCTCCTTGATAGCACTGAAGGAAAATTTCTCTTTCCACAGCAATCCAGTAGAAACATTGCCAATACAACCTTTCCTACTTAGGGAGATAATAGTAATGAATGAAAGAACTATCATGACTATATAATAGTTTAAAATACAGCTTTGTCTCTCTTGACATCTGCATAGACTAAATGAGTTGTTGAAGGATTTGAGCAGTTTTACAGAGTATATTAAGTTTCAGGACTTACACACAAAAAAATATTCATTTGGTTACATGTTGAAATGCAGAGCCAACAATAACTTTGGGATTTATTAAAAGCAGGCCACTGTTTTAATGGGAAAATATTTTTATGCTATGAGCAGAAATTACTTTTTTATAAGTCTTGTAAAAACTCAAAGAAGAGCAGTAAAGATTCTTGTGATGGATGAATTTTGCTGCTCTTGAGTCAATTAGTATAATACAATATTTGCTTTGAAATGGACACAGCACCTGTTTCATTTACTAGTAGGAAAACGAGGACTTTATTTCCTATTTTAGTTGTAGAAAGAGGCTGTAAAATTTAAAGATGAGCAGATGTTAATTGATTTTGTGTGATGTGCTACTTGTGGGTATCCTGAAATTGTCCATTTGCAATAGAACCATCAGCTACCTGGCAAGATTTTGGTAATACAATAAATTATTACTACAGATTGTATTTCACTCAATCTGTCACACTGCATTAGGCTGCCACTGTAGTGTCTCTCTTGGAACTGCCCTTTTGTCTGGATTTCTCTTGATATACAGTAAAGTTTCCAACCACACTGAGACAGGAGTTTTAGTGCATGGTTTTGTTCAGACAGAACACTGTTACACCCCCAGTGTGTCTGTGAGTAGGTTGCCTTCCCATCCTGTTCACTGGAGCCTCATGATGGAGATTTGTGCCCATTACTGAACCCCTGATTGAAAACATCCACAGTCAGCCTTGGCTAGTCTCTGCTCTCAATTCCAAACCCAGTTTTTCAAAATGAAGGAAAGAGGGAAGGGAAGGGAAGGGAAGGGAAGGGAAGGGAAGGGAAGGGAAGGGAAGGGATTTATATTTTGGCAGGGAATTTGTCTAACTGCTGTTTTTACCTTAGCATCTTGTACTCAAGGCATTTGTTTTCTCATTTTTATCAGACTTGACTATTTAGTATTGCAATATGTTCCTGTTGGGAGTTGTTTCATTACTTTGGTTTCTACTGCATATGAAATTTAGACTGTAATGTGATAAGCTTCTGTTTAGCTTTTGCTGGATCCATTCCACTGTTTTGTCCTCCATCTACACTCTAATGCTAACATGGCTGGAGAAATGTGGTATTCTGAAATTACAGAAAGTTACATTGTTGATTTGCTTTTTTTCATATTTGTTGGAAGATACTGAACTTCAGAAAAATCCACAATTGTGGTGAGAACACTTAAAATAGAGCTGTATCTGCTACAGCTTATGCATGTATGAGTGGTGTGGGTGGGTATTCCCCAGTAACTGATGCTGCGTGCAGCCCTGAGGCATTAACTCCTTCTCATGTGGTGACCACTGTGTGTATCCTATTCTATACTGAAGCTTCCCCACAAAAATCTCCTTCTGCCAAATAAGTTTCCACCTTCTTCAGTGTTAAAATATACTAATTTCTGCCACCTGCTCTGCCTCAGAGAGTCTGTGTCTATGGCCATATGAATATAGCATCCCAGACTTTCATGTGCAGTTCTTATGGACAAATACTTAAAATGTGGCAGATGTTTGACTCACCTGAATCAACAAATCTAGTTCCATAACCAAAGATTCATAATGGTTAGAATTGATACTCATCCACCTATCAATAATGGGAAGTTCTCCTAGCTTCTGCTTCAATTCTGTTTGTCTCTTCAATGTCCTTTGACTTAGCTGCAAGCAATTTTTCCAGTGTTTCTTTCATATTCCTGTACTTCTAAGGAGAACTATTGCAATATACATTTGTAACCCTTTCTATCAGGGTAAATATTTCAGCTGCCCTTTAAGTTCTAATGATGGTCTTCTCTCTTCTATATGCAGCAACTGTAAAAAAATTGCCTTTTTTGGGAAGGGAAATTTTGAAACTCAGAACAATCTTTGTTGCTCCTAAGGGACTTAACAGGGTAAATTTACATCATCACTTCCCAGAGAAATAACAACTCATATAGACTCTTTTAATTGATTCACCTCTTTCCATTTGACCACAAGTCACTGGCACATCAGCAAGTTTGGTAAGGTTAGATGGAAATTTGAAAAAATACTATTCTTCCCAATGGCTATTTATCTGTGTTCTTACACCTGAGGATAAAAGTGAGATAAAACACAGTGCCTGCTTGTGAACAGCTATTGCAAGGCAACAGATCTGAGATGCCTCCATGGTGGTTTCTTTGTTTTCTTGCATTTTTAAAATACTGTTGCTACCTTCTATATGTAAACAGGGAAAAATACTCAGTTGTTTCAAATGCCAGAACTATTTCTTTAACAAAAAGCATTTCTCCTTCAGACTTCTAGAAAGACTTGATTTGTCTTCCTGTGGGAATGAATTAAGGCATACCTGGAAAATAGATAACTTTTGTACTCACTATAGTTTATTTCAAAATACCAAAGAACTGGACACAATTTAGCCTACCTGCTCATTGCTACTGAGCAGAGGAAGGACATGGACCTGGTGGCTGGGAGATGCTCTCTTGCTGCTTTCTTACTTACCTAAGTGAGAACAAACACCAGGATCAGTTTTTACAACTACATTTTAAAGGCCTTTTGGACATTTGCAGTTCCACACCAATACTCTGTATGCATAATATCCCGAGGCACATAATCTATATTAATTTCAATGGAAGTTAGGAGATTTTGGAGCTCCCTTTGCATCTGTTTACGCATACACCCTGTGAGAAAATGCATTTTAATCATGTCATTGGGCTAGAGACACTGTCAATGCACTTTCCTGTATCTAATACTCCCCATGGCATATTAAAATTGCAAACTCACCTAATATTCCATTGTGCATTAAAATGTGTGGATTTATACAATGTCTGTGTTTATGTAGCTCATATAGAAATTGCTGAATGTTTTTTAGATTGCAAAGTCACAAGCACAAATATTAGGGTAAATCTTTTGTATTTAAACCTTTGCTGCTACGTGTATGACTCCAGACAATTGTTACAGCTCATATTTGAAAGTCTGCATATGCTATGCAGAAAAAATTTGCTCCTGGATATTATGCAGTTTTCATCACCTCAAAATTCAGAAAATGAGATGAGGTAGCAGAATTATCATAATAATTATTATAATGTTAGATTAAAAAGAGACAACCAGAATTCTTCTTTGTTTTTGTTTTAGTTTGTTTGGTTTTTGTTTTGTTTTGGGGATTTTGTTTGTTGGTTTTGATTTTTGGTTTTGTTTTTGTGTGGTTTTGTTTGTGTTTTGTTTTGTTTTGTTTCTTCTTCTTGGAATTAAGCAACACTGGGGAAAATGAGTGTCTCTTAAAAATATTTTGGTTTTTATTCAGGTATCACATTGGAATACCTTCATCACAGTTTATTTTATATTACAATGTATGGAGCTACTCAAGCTACAGAGAAGTTATAGCCAAAATATATGTAGTAGAAGTGTGTAAGATAAGTAAATTTACAGTTAATTCTCCTGCATTTTCACATGCTAATGTGTTTGGGATTCTTAAGCTTAACCTTGACTCTTTATTTTCTGAATTTAGGGCTAGTTGAAGATAATTGCACCATCTATAGGATTATTTTTTTATTTCTCCCTCTATGTTACTGATATTTGCTTCTACCCATATATCTTCAAAAGAGAAAGCAGCTGATCAGTTCTTGCTTTCTGTTTAAATATATATATGCTAACATTAACCCTTGACCCATGTCAAGACAGGGTTAAGGTAGACTACAAGGATGAGTAAATATAAGGCAAAAACTATGTGCTTTGGGATCATGACATCTTTTCAATATTTGAAAATAACTGCTGCCAGAACCTCCAGGCTGATTCTCAAGGGAGAGGTGTGGAGAAACTTCTGGCTCTTGATTGAAACTTCAGCTCAGTGAAAATTAAAACATTGAACCCCACAAGGAAACTATTGCCAAAACCACAAAAATTGGACTTTTTGCAGAATAGAGCCTATAGAAATTAATTGTTCATTCTGAGTTTAGAATGCAACAAATGGTTTGTTTCAGCTAATCTCAAGTTTGGAGTCATACATGTTGTACCTTTTTACCCGCTTGAAAAAGGAAGATCTTAAATGACAAAAAACTTGGTGCCCTCTCTGTGACCTTTGTTTTATTAGGAACAATTTCCCACTGATGACAAATAAGCAGTAAGTTCACCCCATTACACCTGTATAGCCCTACCCAAAATAACATACTTCTTTGTTATCTCCATAAAGGCCACAAATGCACATGAGATTTAAATAGAGGAGTTAAGCCAATGAAGTGTAGTAGAAGCCTATAGCTTACCAAACCAAATAAAATCTCCAGCAATTTGAACAAGGCTTTTGCTGGGACCTTCAGAAGATAAATACTCATCCATCCAGCTCCCTTCCTGTTTTGTAATGTCTCCCTGTCTAATTTAATAAATGCTTTCTTGCTGTTTCTTGGCATCTTCCAGAACAAGGAATGTAAACTGAAAAGACCATGGAGACTATGGTTGGCCCAGGACTGCACAATGAATAATATCAGGAGACACAGAGACGAGTCTGTCAGCCCATACCTCTTGCCACGGCCTCTACGAGGGAAAGTTGCTCAGAGCTCTGTGAAGCAGACTTTTGTTATACAATAGTTAAGGCACATGAAAGTCAGAAGATAAATGCATGCTCTAAGAGGTCAGCTGCTAAAACTACTACAGCACAGGAAAAAAATCTAAGAGTACCAATAGGAAAGGTGATGCTGGAGAGAAAGTAGTACAGCACAAGAAGGATCGCCAAAGGTTTATTGACACTATTTTATGACACCTTCAATCAGGTAGAACATGCCAGGAAAGGACAGTAGCTGCAGGATAAATATATTTTATTTATTTATAGTCTATAGCTGTCTATTATAGTTTAAATTAATGAAACAGGATTTGTACTGTGACAGTTGCTCTCCAAAAAGAACATCCAAATTTTTGATGTCTAAATTGTTTAAAGTTAAGATAATTCCTTTTTAAATAGCGTATCTCAAAATATACATGAAATTAATCTCTCTGTGAAGTGGACTTTCTACAGAAGGCCTGAGATTTATTTCCTATTCATTTATGGAGGAGCCTTTGCTGTAGATGCACATAAGAAGGTGTACTTAAAACATTCATTAATTCTGCTTCTGGGTGGCCTTAGAAAACTATGAAGACTCTAATATTTTGGTTCCATGTAGTTTTGGCTTTCAGAAATAGATCATTATTGTCTACATGTTCATACAGCCTATTGGATTTTTGAAGTATCACAAGAGAGTACTGTATTCATAAAAATTCAATGTTGAATGGCATTTATCTGCAGGTTACAGAGCCCTTTGTAGAAAAGTTTTAAGGGCAAAAGAGTGCAATGTAGTGTGCAAAGAACAGCATGGTTTTTAGCATTGCCACTGGGGATTAGGTAATCCTGAATGAGATCAGTTTGGTGTAGATTTTAGCCTATTTGTCAAAGAGGGAAAGGCTACTCTTGCTTGCTGTTGAATGATTTGAGATTTATACAGAAGGTCTAATGAATTTTTATATATTCAAATAATTCATTTCTTTATGGCTTGTTTCCAAAATTTTGTCTTTGCCCCCTTCTTATATGGTCACTGCAGGGTTTTGTTTGACATTAGGAGAACATTGTGAGAGGGCACAGCCCATCCAAGTGCTCCTCAGTGTCTTCTGGACTAGAGTACTCATCAGTATTCACTAGCTGACCTAACCCTAACCCTAACCCTAACCCTTTCCGTTCATGTACTGCAATCTGTTACCTCTTCTTTTGACTGTAAAGTTCAAGTTAGTGGAAGAATATTCTGCATCCTCTTTAATAGCCTTAGTCATACAGTGAGACCTGGGCAGTACAACAGCAGACCAACAGCAGATTGCCACCACAGACTGCCAGTCCTTTGAGAAATAGGTAGTTGGACTTTATGAGGTACCCTGAAATCACTTGTATGATTGGATGATAACTAAGATAAAGGTAAACAGTTTTTTTCTATTGTGATGTAATTCATTACAAAAATAATCAGTTTGACAAATAAAACTGAGATAAAGTCAGATAAAACTAAAGATTTATTTATGTATCCATAGGCCTTACTGACCCTGGCCATCCCTTTCAGGTGCTCTCAAACCCTGTCCACATCCCAGGGCCCCATTTCAGCCCCCCAAAGGCCATCAGCGCCTGCCCCAGAACTTCCACAGCAGGGCCACCTTCCAACTCTTCACAGCCCTGCCTTGCTCAGCTGTGCATCCACTGAGCCAGGCTCACCCGCAAGCCGATCCTCAGTCCATTCCCAGGGGAGTGCCCAATGTCCACGGCTGGGGCTGGTCCTGCTGTCCCCAGCTGCCCTTGCCACCAGTGTACTGCCATCCACCATGGGCCAAGGAGCCACTGGCCCTCATGGCACCCTCATGACACAGTCAGTTAAACTCAGGAGAGGATATACACATTTACAGAAGCTGTTTGCAATCCTGATGTTCTCATTACCATGACTGAATCAAAGTCTTTTTAACCTGTCCACATTACTCTACAGAATCATTTTTTTTACATTTAGCAGTCTCCACAATGAGCTTGTGAATCCGCCATGAATCTGTTGCATTTCTTGTATTTCATTTTCATCCCTCTTGGTTGACTAAATGGTCAGAGGTTAGGTTTGGCACCATAAATGTCAATGATCTCCACACAGCAGGAGACCAACGTTTGGTTGGCCAGTACTTAAAAATCTGGTGTGTTTTCCTATGTGTCATCCATTCACTGGCATCTCGCAATGTAGAACTACGGCTGTGGTAATCCCTTGTGCAGGCACATGAGCAACTACACCAAACCCACAGATGGCAACAGGTTCAGGTGATTTCCAGTTCTTTGGTGTCTTAAGTGCTTTCCTGGTTATTTCTCTCTTTTGAATGTTGATCTTTTTTATTCAGCATTTCTAATCCTGAGCTAAATTGTAGGAAATTATTTCCCAGCATGGTTCATGTTTTATTGTAGCATGCACACATTGTTTCCTTGCATTGTTCTTTCTGAAGAAATGCTGTGACTTTATGAATTACATTATTATTATGTTTCTGTGAAAAAACAGCAACCCAAGCCTTCCCTTCCAGGTCTATTTTATCCCTATGAGATGGGAATTTGTGTAGTTCATGTTGAAGGAATCACTTTGTTGTTTATTTAACTTTAGGCATTAATTTTACATCCAATTTAGCATTTTCCATACACATATGCTTAGATCTTCTGAATGCTTTTGCAAATAAATAAATAAATAAATAAATAAATAAGCAATAACAAAGCAAAAAGCTATGAAACTGAGATTAGCATTCCTCAGACTGTGGTAATTTCCACCAAATGAGGACTCCAGCAACATGCAAGAATATTAGACCTATATAACATGAGATTCCTCTATCTGGATCTTGATAAACTTGAAACAAAGATAAGAAGAAACACATCAAGGAAATATCCAAACTTTTCCAAAGAATGTTAGTCAATGCTTTACAGCCTCCTAGATCACACTATCTAGTATTAGGCACAAAACTCCTAAATGCTAAAACTTTGCTTT